GGATGGCTTCTCTAAACTGCTCATTAACAATTATTTTTTAGTGACCACCTCCAACTCAGTTGGAGTACCTTGGAACATTTTGCAATATTAACAACGCTCCATGAGATATGTTAGTTTCTGGGAATTTCTGTAATCCAGTTTGAGAACAGGGTTACCTGTGATGGTCAGATAGGTACAATCCCCATGACTATATGCTGGCCCTTAAAGATGAAAAATCAAAATTACCTGGAGAATCTTCCTCAGGAACCCTTCACTGTCAAAGGTTATGGCAGTCGTGTGGACTAAAACTGTCAAATGAGCCTTCAACACTGGCCACTCAGTGCCCAATTTCCCTTCCAGCCATTATCTCTAGGCACCATGCCCTGAAATGTGCACTCTGGCTTGAGCACCGCATAAGCCACCAGTTTTGCTGCTCAGAGGTTTTTGTTTATTGTGAAAACATCAAAGTCAAAAGTCAAAATAGAGAAGTTGTGGGGAAGCACTCAGTACCACTGAGATGGAAAGATCAGCAGCGTCATCAGCGTGTGCAGAGCAGTCAGCAAAGGCTTAAGGCAGTGTGGAGGCAATCTCTGTGGGTGAGCTATGAAATGTGACTAACATAGCCTTTTTTGGTCCTGCTCTCTAAAGTCTACTGCACTAACCTAACTTCTGAACAAACCACATCGAGCATGCAAGTCTGTTTAACACTGCAAATGCCAATGAGGCAGGCTGCTATCATGTTTGAAAAACTTTACCGTGAGGTAATGTTAATACGTCTTTAAAAGGATTTCACTGGTTTTGAAAACATTTAAAAATCATACTGAATGAATCATGAAGCAATAACATCATGTTTTACATTTCACAAGGTGGTGGTGGGGTGTTGGTGGGAATTGCCAGGGGTCCTCCAGTGATTCACCCGGTGTCATCCGTTCACTGTTGACAAGCTCTCTTACCTTTCAAGGTCATTGCCATGTCATTACACGCACACTGTCCAACAGATCACCATCAGGCCTGATTCTATTCCTCCTCCAAAACAAAACTCTACTCCAAAACCTTAGATTCCTCCTCCTGCAGGGATGTTGATGACAATCACAGAAATTCTCTCAAGAGACCAAAGCAGGCCACAACATACAGGAGCAGAATTAGGCCATTCAGCCCATTGAGTCCACTCCCCCATTCAGTCATGGCTGATATGTTTCTCAACCCCACACTCCGGTCTTTTCCCCTTAACTTTTGACCCCTTTTCTAATCAAGGATCTCTCTCTCCCCGTCTTAAATACACTCAATCAGTTGGCCTTCACATATGTATGCGGCAGAGTTCCACATCTCAGTTTTAAAGGCTCATCTCTTCACTGAGGCTGCGCCCTCAAGTCCTAGTCTCTCCCACTGGTGGAAACATCTACTCCACGCCCACTCTATCCAGACCTCTCAGCATTCTAGAAGTTTCAATCAGATCCCCCCCAACCCCATCTTTGTCAACTCTGTCGAGCACAGACCCAGAGTCTTCAACTATTCCTCAAACTCTTCAGTGCCAGGATCATTCTTGTGAACGTGCTCTGGACCCTCCAAAGCCAGCACATCCATTCACAGATATCAGGCCCAAAGCTTTTCACAATATTCCAAATACCACCTGACCAGGGCCTTATACAGCCTCAGCAGTACATTCCTGCTCTTGTATTCTTGCTCTCTTGAAATGAATACTAACGTTACATTTAGAGTCATAGAGTCATTGAGTCATACAACACAGAAACAGATCCTTCAGTCCAATCAGACCACGCAGACCATAATTCCAAACTAAACTAATCCCACCTGCCTGCACTTGGCCCATATCCCTCCAAACTTTTCTTATTCGTGTACTTATCCAAATTACTTTTAAACGTTATAACCATACCTGCGTCAACCACATCCTCTGGAAGTTCGTTCTACACATGAACCATTCTCTGTAAAAAAAAGTTGCCACTCATGTCCTTTTTAAATCTTTCTCCTATCACCCTAAAAATATGGCCCCTAGTTTTGAAATCCCGTCTCTAGGGACAAGACACCTGCCATTTACCTTATTTATAGCCCTCACGATTTTATCAACTTTTATAAGGTCACCGCTCAACCTCCTACGCTTAAGTAAAAGAAGTCCCAGTCTATCCAGCCTCCCCTCATAACTCAAACCCTCCACTCCCCAACAACATCCTGGTAAATCTTTTCTAAACCCTCTCCAGTTCAATAATATCTTTCCGATAAAGGGCGACCGGAACTGGACACAGCACTCCAGAAGAAACCTCAATACCATCCTTACAACCTCAACATAATGTCCCAACTCCTAAACTCAAAGGTCTGAGCAATGAAGGCAAGCATGCTAAATGCGTTCTTAACCATTGTATCTATATGTGACGCAGACTTTAAAAAGCTATGTACCTGAACCCTTAGGTCTCTCTGTTCTAGAATGCTATCCAAGGCCCTACTTTTAACTGTACAAGTCCCGCCCTTGTTTTTTTGACCAAAATGTAATACGTCGCATTTATCCAAATTAAACTCCATCTGCCACTCTTCAGCCCATTGAACCAATTGACCAAGATAGTTTCGTAATCTTAGATAACCTTCTTCACTATCCAGTACACCACCAATTTTAGTATCTTTTGCAAATTTCCTAACTTCTATATTCTCATCTAAATCATTTATATGAATGATAAAGCAAAGGAGATCCAGCGCTGATCCCTGTGGAACACCGTTCTAACTGCAAACAAACTGTATGTTAACCAATGGAGTCCTCGTGCATGATTCTTGAGTGCCTTTGTGCTTCAGATTTCTGAAGCCTTTCCCCATCTAGAAAATAGTCGATGCCCCTATTATTCCAATCAAAATGCATAACCTCACACTTTCCCATTGTATTCTATCTGCCAATTCTTTGCCCACTCTCCCCGCCTGTCTGAGTCCTTCTACAGCCCCCCCACCTTCTCAACACTACCTGTCCCTCCACCTAGCTTTGTGTCATGTGTAAACTTAGCAACAATGCCCTCAGTTCCTTCATCCAGATGGTTATATATTATATGAATAGTTGTGGTCCCAACACTGAGCCCTGCGGAACTCCACTCATCACTGGCCATCCTGATAAAGACCCATTTTTCCCCACACTCTGCTTGAGAGCCAATCCTTTATCCATGCCAGAATCTTGCCCCAAAACCATGGGCTCTTACTGAAAAGCCTCCTCTGCAGCACCTTGTCAAAGGCTTCTGGAAATCCCAACAAATCACATCCACTGGTTCTCCTTTGTCTAAGTTGCTCATTACCTCCTCACACAATTGTAATAGATTTTTTAGGCCATGCTCAATCAGCCCTATTTTACCATGTGAAATAATTCCAGAGGTAGTGTCCCGTCACCAAGTCACTTTCTATTTACACATGAAGGGTCCTTGATTTTATACTTCTTGAGAGCCAGCTACACGAGTGGCAGCATCTCTGACACTCCCCTTTTTATCTGTCAGCCAGGACTCCCTGATTGGACCAGATTAACAGCTCCAACCAGGGAACTCATTCCATGGGAGCCACCTGGCTGACCTCGTTATAAAAACAACACCATGTACTTCCAAGTACTCTACAGTCTCATCCTTAATAATCCTTACCAACAACCAAGGTCAGGATAACCAGCCTTCTGCCTCCCTCCCTTCTTAAACAACCGTGTGACATTAGCCATTTTCCAGTCCTCTGGGATCCTCCCTAGCTCCAGCAATTCCTGAAAAATCACCACCAATGCCTCCACAATCTCAACTATCTCCTTCAGAACTTTTGCTTCTCCCTTTTTTGTATCTTCAAAAAAAACTCTTGCCATCTTCATTTATATTACTAGCCAGTTTATCCTCATATTTCATCTTCTCCATTACTGCCTTTATGGTTATCCTCTGCTGGTTTTTAAAAGTTTTCCCAATCTACTGATTTTCACCATTGCATATGCTTTTATGCCATCCCTGACTTTCCTCGTCAGCCATGGTTGCCTCATCCTCCCCCTTCGTATGTTTCTTCTTCCTTGGGATGAGTTTCTGATGTGCCTTCCAAATCACCCCCAGGAACTCCTGCCATTGCTGCTCCACTGTCTTCCCTGCTAATCAACACTGCTCAGCTCCTCCCTCATATCTTTGTAGTTACCTTGACTCAAGTGTAAGACTGTTACATCTGATTCCAATTTCTCCCTCTCAAATTGCAGGTGGAATTCTATCATATTACAGTCACTGCCCTCCTAGGGATTCCTGCACCTTAAGCTCCCTAATCAAGTGTGCCTCATTACACATCACCAAATCCAGAATTCCAGTTCCCTCATGGGGTCTACCACAATCTGGTCCAAAAAAGAAACATCTTGTAGACATTCCACAAATTCCTTTTCTTGGGATCCATTTACCAACTTGATTTTCCCAGTTCACCTGCATATTGAAGTCCCCCTGTAATAGTGCCTTTCTTACATGCCTTTTCCATCTCCTGATTGATTTTCTTCTGCACATCTTGGTTACTGGTAGGAGGCCATTTTTCCCTTTGTGCTCCTCAACTCTAACCACACAGATTCTAGGCGTTCTGAACCTATTAGCACTTAATGTTATTGGTTTCATTTCATTTTTTATTACAACCCTATGCCCTCTGCCCCCTGCCTGTCCTTTTCACAGGACGCGTATCTTTGGATATTTAGTTCCGGCCCTGATCCCCTTGCAGCCACAACATCGTGTAACGGCCAATTTCAACATGCCTACAAGCTCATGAAACTTGTTTTGTATACTGCGCATATTTAAGTACAACACCCTCAGTCCTGCACTGACCAACCCCCTTCTTAGCTGTCCCTTCATCTGCTGTGCCTGAAGTTAGATTCCTGACCCTTTCCATATTCTGTCCTGTAATGTGTTCTGGAAAGCTGAATAACCTCTCCCGAGTCCTCCTCTCCTTTAAGTTTCTCCATAACTTTCTATGCGACTCAATGTTCTAATCCAGAACTGGAAACCGGAGCATCTGCTAAACTGTAAATTTCCCTCAATATCAGCAATACTTACCTCTCACTGCTATAGTTCGTAAGACTCATTCTTTTTTTTAAAAAGGATCAGGCCACAACTCAGCACAGCTACACGTGTAGTTCATCCTTCGAGGCGAAGGTGACCATGTTCATCACCTGGAGTGTTTTGTGGGGTTTTCATGGGTACATGGGTAATTGCCAATGTTGATATGGACCCTGGAGCTTCTGTTGTAAACAGGGTAAGGTCCCTGAAATGTCAGAGCTTTGGATGAGTTGCCAGCTCAGGATTTCCTCTCTGTGTTTTCCCACTTAGTTCGATATCAGCTTGCTTTCAAAGCAGGCCACACCATTTTTTATTTGGATCCACCCAGTGCTGCGATTCTGGGTGAGCTTCCCCCAGAACGTGGGCTAATGCTGATCTCCTAAATGAAGCCTGCAGAGTGTCCTTGGAGCAGTTCTTTGGACCATCATAATCGCGGAAAGAAGGTGAAGAGGAACAAAAAGGAGCAAGCCTGCTGACGAACCTGAAGTTGATGAAGCAACAGCTTGCCCGTTCTGTTTTACACATGTGAGACTTGGATTGTGTGGAAGTAATACCATGAAACACAGCTGTCAACTGAGATCATGTTGCAGCACTAAATGTCAAACACAGAGCTCTGCACCTGAAATGACACAAACAAACACACCCATATTGAACTGATCATAAATTACTCATGTTGGTCCCATAGCCAAGAATGCCTGAAATGCACTCACCAAGCAAATCATGTCTGGCAAGTTTCAGTCTAGGGCCACTCTCATGATAGCCCGCCTTATTAAAATTGACAATGTCACAATATTACTGTGTCATGATAATCCAGATGGTATCATTTTCAATTTGTTGCTCCAAATCATTTGCTTTGTGTTGTGTGGAATGGAAACGAAACGAAGAGGTTTTTAATCATTAGAATACAAGCAAAGTCACTAGTTCAAAATAACTTACATTCTACAGGATTCCAAGACTCATCTCAATTTGTGAGGGGGTAAGCGTTATGTTGAAGGATCTATCCACTTCACAGAATATGAATTACAGGTAACTTTGATTATCAAAGCTATAAAGTCCACTTGGGTATCTTTTAAAAAACACTAATACCTCACATTCTCATAGTCAAAGATTTGAATATGTTCAAACAAAACTAGTTGTCCAAGTTAAAAACAGCTGAAAAGCGGGAATGTTTTCAAGCAACACTTCCTGCTCACCCATGCATTTGAAAGCCAATGGCACTTATTCAGTTAACGAACGCTGTGAATGAAACTGCTCGAGGCAGTATCTGTCTGAAACACTCCTCACTGTTTTGCCTCTCGGGTCTCGCCATGGTTTCACTACCAATAGTCAAACACCCCTTACATATTCTTTTGCTTTTTGCCATCCACCTTTCAACTTTCTACTGAAAAGAATTGGAATTTATACCGCACCTTTCTCAAGCTCAGGAGGCCCCAAAGTGCTTGACAGCCAATTCAGACTTAATTTATGAAACAACTGTGACAAGGTGACAACAGTAAATAGACATCTATTTTCAATACTTTTCTGTTGAAATGACTAAGCACAGTCATTGTTCTTTTATAGACCAAAGCATGAGCCAAGTTACAGATGGCAACAAGTTCCAGAACCAATTAATCTGTTTTGCTGATGTTGCAGGAGAAATCATTGTTGGCCACGACATCAGGAAGATTTCTTGTTTAATTCCAACAGAGCCCTGGATCGAGTTGCTGCTGAATGCTCATTTCGATGGGCAGGGAATACCAGAGAATATATTGGCCGTGCTCCCACTTCTCATGCACCATTTTTGATATTAAATTTTGGCAAAATTATTGACAATGTAGTACAGCCCAATCCCCAAATCCACCCAAGATCCAGGCATATATTTTCCAACTGGATAATGCTCAAGAGGAGGAATCTTGGCCAAATGCCTCTTGAAATCTGGAACACATAGCAACAGTCACGCCATAGCTGAGAGCAGCAAATCAAATTGAAATTTGGGAGCTTCTGGTCTGTGGGGCTCAGTGGGCAACATTAATGCTCAAGTATAGTGGACACAAGTCCAGAAATTCTGGAGTGGAGCTCCACAGCAGCAAGAAGAGAGTGTGGCACTGGCAGAGGGGTTGTCATTCGAATGAGGTGTGAAAATGACATTTTCCACCCTCAGATGTACAAAGATCTCATGGCACTATTTTGGAAAGTAGCGGTGCGCTCCATGGCATCCTCTACCTATATCACAAAAATAGCTTATCTCATCATAATCAGATTGCAGTTTGTGGGATCTGGTGCACATCAGTTGACTACACATTTCTTACGGGACAGAGCAATGTTCCAAAATCACAGTCTGCGAAGCTCTTTCGTACATACCAAAGATATGAAAGGCGCTACGGAAATCAAATTTGCCCTTTCATACTGGTTCACTAAAGGGAAGTAAATCCCACCAGGAATATCCTGCATTTTCCAGCAGCAAAATGAGGTGAAATGGAACATTCGACTCATCATCACATGGTACACAAGGCACATCCAAGACCATGTTTACTAAGCACCCCTATCTGAGGGAGGGCATTCTGGCTATGGAGAGATTTACCAAATTGATGCCTGGGATAGCAGGACAAACGTATGAAGACAGACTGGATTGGCTAGGTCTCTATTCACTGGAGATTAGAATAATGAGGTGGGGGAGGGTGGGATTTACAGAATTAGGCAGGGTAAACATGATCCTGATGACCGGGGAATCCAGAACTAGAGGTCACAGTTCAAAGATTATGGGATAGGCCATTTAGGATGAGATGAGGAAAAAAATTACTTCACCCACAGAGTGGTGAGCCTGTCGAATTCTCTGCCACAGAAAGTGGTTGAGGCCAAAACACAATGTTTTCAAAACCAGTTGGATATCATTCTTCGAGATAAAGAGATCAAAGGGAAAGTGAAGACCCAGGAACAGGGTATTGAGACGGATGATCAGCTCTGATCATATTGAATGGCAGGGCTGAATAGACCTCACCCTCCCCTTGGTGGCAAAAAGACAGAACAGGGAGTACATAACAGTGTGGTGAGACGCTAGAGAATGATGTGGGGATGTGCAACAAGATCTTCACTCTATGATGGATAATGGCAAGATACACCTTTTCAAATAGAGGGACACAATCCATAAGGCAAAAGAAAGCTGAGAAATCTCAATTCACCTAGGTCAGGCCAGCTAAATGATCAAAACTCAAACCACTCATGGCAGATCCTTGGCATTCCATCCCTTCATAAAAAACTACCAGGAAAAGATCACTGCACAAACAGAAACACAAGAGTAATTTAACGACATTTTAAATAGGGCTTTTGAGAAATGTTTAATGAACTCAAGAGGAAACTGAAAGATATACATTAGCTCTGGGTAGGCTGCGGATTCCTCCCCCACCTCTGAACTTCAAATGCTGAAACCACAACTTCCTCAAGACTAAGTGGCTGCTCCCAGTGACAATGCAAACCACAGACAACGTGACATCTCCATTTATGACATGGCCCACATGCTGAGCCTTTATCTTGTTCCATTGGCTTACACGATAACCTGTTATTATATCATTGGAGTGAGGGGTATAATGAAATCCTTACAGACTGATTCAGGTTAAGTATAATATGGCAAATCAAAAATTAATCCCCTTTCACTTTACCCGATCTCTAACCTGCTTAACATCATGCACTGACTCAGGATGGTGTCATTCCCCACAATCACCACATTATATCTTACTGGTTTTGGGGAGGTTTTACGCATTTACCTGTGCCCATTCAGAACTCAACTGTAAATTGGGACTGTTTGGCCACAACAATGTGAACAGTTTTGGCTGCCTTTGCTAGGGAAAGATATACTGACATTGAGGGTAGTTCAGAGAAGGTTCACCAAGTTGATCCCAGGTATGGAAGAATTTTCTTATGAGTACAGGTCAAAGTAGGTTGGGTCTGTACTCAGTGCAGTTTAGAAGAATGAGAGGAGGCCTTATCGAATGAAACACAGGCACTTGACAGGGTTGATGCAGAGAGGTTGTTTCCCAACGTGAGAGAGTCTCTGAACAGCAGGCATAATCTCATAGTGAAGGGTCATTTATTTAAGACAAAAATGAGGACAAATTTCTTATCTCAGAGAGTAGTAAATCTGGAATTCTTTATTGCAGAGAGCAGTCAAAGCTGGGACAATCAGAATATTCAAGGCTCAGACACAATTTTTAAACATTAAGTGAATCCAGGGTTATAGGGAAAAGGCAAAGTAGATTTAAGGATTATCAGGTTAGCCATGATCTCACTGAACTGTGGAGCAGACTTGATGGGCTGACTGGCCTCCTTCTGCTCCTGCGTTTTATAGTTTGTGGTTTGATGGGACACCTCAAAACAAATGGCAGAAAGTCTTCTGTCCCCCAGCATTAGAAACGTGGCCACGCAAAAAAACAGCACAGTCCAATCCATTAAATGTCACATTTGTCACCTTCCTTCAGCTCATGGTTTACTTGCTCCCAGGCCTGTCAGTATTATTCTGTCACTGACCACTGGTGGTATTCAAATTGTCCATAAGCAGCTTTCCCTCATTTTCTTCATGATTCCTAAATACTGCGTGATAATCACTACTGTTATTGGATATTTGGCAATCGAAGACCAGAAATCCATATTGCCCCTTTATGACATAAGTATGCTATTGCACAGCTATATAGCATGACTCAAAGTAATGTGCGTGATGCACAAAGTGATCAAACATACTGCAATTACATATTAGGAATTAGCACTTAACATATTATCGTGCCTACTGGCCTCTTCATTTTGCATAGTTGCAGCATGATCCAAACTCTGTAAACCATGGTATAATAATCAGCAAATGCCTTGCCAACAAATGATGCAAAAAAAAATTCAGAACAACTTGACTCTCTCAAAGGCTTCATGTCACTGCTTAAAGTTACGAGCTGTTCCTCAAGTGGTGCCAGGCCCTGTCAATTGAACACCTTCGTCTCACTTCCATGGTCAGAATGTGAAGGAGACCCATTTCCAGTTTGATTACTATTGTTCCAACAACTTTCCAAGTTTGTTTCTTTCCTGCAGAATCAAGGAAACAACGTGCAAACCACATCTTTACACACCCATCAATTAGAGTCAGCAAACACACCTCAAGTTCGAGTGCAATTACGAAAACTACACCAGCAACATCCTTAGCATAAACTGTGGATGAGTGTGGAAGGGGGCCTGAGGTGTGATAAAAACATAACTTCTGATTTTCCAAACAATTTAAGTTTTCTGTCCATCAACTGGTTATTAGGGCAAATTAGACTATCATTTAACTACCATGAACATAACTTTCATCAGGATAAAAGGTGCCCAGAGTCAGAAGTTGTTTACCACACTCAGCCCATATCAATGTCAATTATGTCATTATCACATCATTCCTGATCAATACATATCAATGTAGTGCAATGATATAACACAAGCTAGATTGCTAAACGTTCAAAGCAGTTTCTCTCTCGCCCATGTGGTATTGAGCCCGTATAAACCAGACAGATCTCAGGTTCCAAATTATAGTTTGTTTGTGGGCACCCTGTCTCTGAGCAATGCACAGGACATTTGAGAAAAGGGAGAGATGGAGAAGAAAGGGAATCAACCAAGACTCCTCACGATTAC